GGGGGGGCGGCGGGGGGCCCCCCACCACGTCGCAGCAGGGAGGGTGGCGCGGGCAGCCTCTCGCCCCCCGTCCTAAGCGAGGTAGAAACGGTGTCCGCGCTAGCGCCTTTCTTTGCGCCGCGGCGGAGGCTGGGTAGAGAAAAGGTTAGGAAGAGCGAGCTTAAATCAAGGATGGAGCTTTCTGAGTAGAGGTTGTTACACACAGATTGGTGCCGCGCTGTTGTCAACGCGCCAGGGGTAGTTTTAGCTGTCAGCTTTGTCAGCGTCTGCCAACCAACTTTAGCTTGTTTTCTGACTTTTCCAAGTGTTTTCCAAGTTTTTGCTTGCAGTGCTGAGGGTAAACTGTCCCTTAGCGTCTGTAATACCACATTTGTTTTCTCATTTCCTTTTCATCTCCGTTTCTTTCCGTGGCTTCCCCCTTCTGGGGAGGGGGAGGGGGGGAGGAAAGCACCAGCTCTGCACCTTCGCCCAGCTATAACATAAACACCCTAAAAACGTAAATCCCCTTCCCTGGTGCTGGCTCCTAAAGCCAGGCTGGCTTTCTTCATCCACCAGCGGTCACTCTCGCGCAGTAACGCTTGCCTTCCCTCACCCTGGGGCGCTCCCACCACCCCTCTCCCCTCCCTGCGGTTATGGCCAGGACACCGCGCACGGCTACTCGGGAATAAACTATTTCAGCGGCTCTTTTCTGCGATTTACTCCAGGTCTTCTGGAATGAACATTTTTGAGGAATAGTCTCCCGACTTGGTCAGCGTGATCCGCTGGGCGTACAAGAGGTTTAAGTAAGTGAGCGACAGTCCTGGAGCGTTTCCCTCTTTCCCAGGTTCTCCCTCCTCCCCCTCTGGACTGATAATGAAAAACTCCATTTGGGAAAGCAACTCTCTCATTAGACACACACAATAATTACACTGAAATAACATTTAAAGAATATTAAAAAGAGAGGAGACTTCAAAGACCAGTGAATTATAAAACTACAGTTAAGCTTGTACAACTTCCATGTATACACTATGTTACAGTTACCTGACTGCTTTATTTTTTTTTCACATATAAGATGGGTGGTAGGTATATACTTTTTTTTTCTCCTCACAGTCCAATGTGTGGTCCCAGGCCTTGTTTACAGCCCCCTGTTCAGTCATTAGTTTGATGAAAGAGCTATTAATTTCCTCTTCATCTCTTTTACAGCACTTTTTACAGTAACATTTATGTATGTGACAAACATGAATTAATTTATTTTTGTCATACCACCAGAAGATGAAGGGAAATGAGGTACAAAGAGAAAAAGAGGAAAGCATCCTAATTTACAGATAAAGTTATTTTAGAATATTTACCATCACATCTTCATATCAGTACACTTATTTGGGGATAAATACAGAAAACGTGCTCTTATGAACATTATTTTATTAAAATGCAGCAAGGAAAATAGTTGGAGCAATTGGATTACTTGAGTGACATTAGTCAGCTATTAAAGTCAGTCACTTTCTTCATTGGAATCCAGTAGTAATATGCACAAAAGAGAATTTTAGATTCTGGCCACTTTGTATTTTCAGTGTGTTTAAAGAAATATTTCCAATATGCTCAAAGTTAATACTACTTTTTTACTGAAACTTAAATTTATTACAGTGTTTTATGGAAATATCTAAGTAAAACCTCATATGTTCGTAGTATGGCTCTCCTTTGCCTTCAGCCTCAGCTATTTCAGTGCTTCATTGTCTCTAACCCTGGAGTATCAAATTGGGCCTTCCGAAAATGAGGTACATATAAATAGCCAATACCCTTGATTATGTGCTTTGCCTATTATCACATGATGACTTTAGCACGGACAGTTAGAGAATCCAGATCTCTATCTTCAGTGGATTTGACCAAGAGATTTTCCTACCTCTTCCTGTAATCTCAATCTCATTTACTATTGCTGGTTTCTCAGTATGTGCAGATCGCAAAGACTGGACTTCACTACACAACCCTGACTCATCTCAAAGCAGGTCAGAACTATGCAGTGAATGAGGCAAGGGTCTTGCAGAAAAAATTGGCATGCCATTGTGTTATTAAAGATAAAGTGCAAATGAACAGAGAGAGCAACATTGATTCCATAATCTCTCTTCCCATGAGTCCTTGGCCTTAAAATATGGCAGATCTTGCATCACACTGACATGACTGTGGGTCATCCCCGAGTCTGGAACCTCTCATACCACAGCATGGACCTCTCCTTCGTAGCTAATGGAGCAAGTTAACAGCAAGAGCAGCTTGCACATGCTTTTTAGGAGGGGATTTAGAAATGCTTGCATGCCTCAGAGTAATTGGGAACTGAGGAATCCTGCATTTCACTCCAGTCTCTGGTAGTAAGTGTGGTTCTCCAACAGGCCCAAACTCCGCTTCTCCAGCTTAGCTCTATCTCCAGCAAGATCCTCTTTACAAATTCTGTAGCACTGCTAGCTTCCCATACAAGTTTTTTTTTCTCCTCAACTCACCAGTCCCAAATCTTCATGCCTCCAGCTCATCCTCCCAATAGACAGAAAAATCCACTCTTTGCACTGGAAGTCACAGTATCACACTTACAGTTCTCCATCTCAGCTTTCTCCAGCCAGTTTCTGCTCTCCCACACCAGTTCCTCACTCAGTCTGTCTTTTCTTTTTCCAGCTGTGCCTGTCTCTGCACTGGCTCCAAGTTAAAATTGGCTTCCCTTACATCCTTTCATAGCCAGTCCTTTCCTTCCTTCCTTCAGCCTAGTAGTTTCCCCTCTTGTTTTTGGTCCCACATCCCCCATTAGTCTGTCTCTTCCTTCCACCAGCACTCAGTCAGTCTTTTTTTAGGCCTTAGCTCCAGTTCCAATCTCTTTACTCAGTCTCCCCATGCTTCAAATCTTAGTTTCATTCCTTCACCTACCAGTCTCCAGCTGTAGACTCTGACCACATCAGGCTCTTTGCCCCAGTTACTTCACATGAGATATGCTCTTCTGTGTTTGCATAAGGCAGTTTTTCCTTTTGCATTGCCAGTGTAGCACAGAGAGAAGCCAGATGCTGACCCAGAATGGCTTGCAACAGACCAGAGCTGCATTTACCAAGAACACTCTGTTTGATGCAGCTTTTTTCAAAGGCAAATGGCTTGCTCAAATCAGCCTAAGACAGCTTGCCATAACATGGAGAACTTCAGCCCAAAGTGTGGAAATTTTACAAGGTTATAAGTAACTAGACATGGCAGTTTTGGAGCCACCTTAATAATAGGCTATTTTATGCTGTGCCTTCACTTAGATCATAGACATTTTTCTATACTTTGAGTTCAGGGGGGACATGAGGCATTTCTCAAAAGAGAAAAGCTGTTAGGCAATAAGAATGAGTGAATTAACAGTCCTAATTATCTATTTCACTTTTATTCAATCTCAATTTACTTAATCACTTTTAATTAATTGCATTTAATTTAAATTAACAATCAATTAATTAATTAGAAAAAATTAAAAGGCACAGAAAGCTTTACCCTTGTAATACATTCCTCTGAATGCCTGCATCATCCTCAGTACAAACAGCTCCAGTTCTTTCTTTTCTTGCTAATTTGTCAGATCTCTTTTTTTCCAAACTGTGAGTTTATCTCAGTTAGTGCTTGTACAGTGACTAGAAACCAGACCTGTAAAAGGCTGCTGAACACTCCTTAGGCCTATCTGCTAGGAAATTAACCTGGATGAACTTTGAAAAAGGATTAGTGTAAATGTAGTTATGGAAGATATAGGCAAATAAACAAAACGTTCTAGCATGAATTTGAGCATGAATTTGGTGAACATCAGCTACTCCATAGTAGTTGTCTGTGTGCATTCTGTTACTGCACTATAAATGAAATGTCACATAACCCTTTGCAAATTAAAGTACTTCATATTTACCTCTGCAGACTTGCTTTCCTACAGGCAGTAGTTGTAGTTGATGTGCGTTAAATTCACATCCAAACTTAGGTCGCTGTCATTTCTTGCTAGGCTTGTATGAGGATTAAGTGGCCCTACTTTGCATGTGTGGTACTTTGCAAGCAAGGTCATTTTCACTCTGTGTCTACCAAGTGTTTTATGAAGGGTAACAAATCCACTATACACGTTTCTAGTTAACTCAGATTTCTTTTCGTAAACGTTGTCAAGTAAACAAACACTTTTCCACCTCTTCTAGATCATCATCTTTAGAGGAAGTTGTCATGTTGTGATCTCAGTCTATGAGTGGACCTGTCTTTATGGCAATGGTGAGTCTAAGACAGAACTATCAGGGTTTTCTTACTCCAAGTCATATAAAGCATAACAGTAAAACGTGCAAGAGGAGGTTGTACATGTTATATCTCAAAATGTGGTTTGGCAGCAAGCATAGTAACAGTTTAGGGAACAGGCTGTTCTTTAAATAATACGCTTTTGTTTTCATGTTTTAATTCTTCATGCTGATGATTTACAGCAAAGGCTTTTTTCTTCAAAAAAATGCAGACCCACAACTAATCCATCAAAAAGATGCAGTATGTGGTTTCTTTGTCAAGCATTTCAATAAATCATTCATTTTTTTCTGGGGTGTTTGTAGTATTCACATTGGGAGAGGATTGTTTTTTTCCATTTAAACAGCGAGCTGGATTTTCAAATGTTGATGCGTGCACAAATGCACATGTCTAGCTTTGAAAATCTGATCTTAAATGCACAGGAGGTAAGTGAATGAGGTGTGAGACTGAAGGAAAACTATAGAGTTCAACTGAAAAATCAAAAGCGCTGGACCTCAGAGGTGATGATCACCAAGCTTTAGCAGATGTCAAGGAGATTACTGGTACTCTGCACCTTTTGGTTCTGATGTTCTTATGTAGCTAAATACATACCTACCAGGCGGTGCTAAAATAGCATTGTAGATTCAAAGCTGCACTTAGTATTTTTGACTGTTTTTTTCTGTCACTTTCCCCTTTCATAATGAAGTTTATTTTCTGACTGTCTTACTAGGTGTTTATGCTATATAGTCATTATAGTATCTATCTAGCAATGTAGAAATATCTGAAGTAGATTTAAAGTAGGTAGTTGTAATGCAAGCAACAGATTAGATTAATGAGAGCAGTGTGGAACCCTGTATGGTTTTATTATCCTGGATGGATTGATTTGGGGATGCTGTCAGCTGCCTGTTTGATGCTGCTGCTATAGTGTGTAGTCATTGGTTTTATAGGTTCCCCAACCCTATGTTACAAAAATGGATTTTTCGATCCTGTCACAAAATAAACATCAAAATGTTTTGCTTTGAGTCAAGCAGAACTTACCATTCAAATTTAAATGAAGTGTTTTGTTTCCTTTTTAGATCACGTAAACTTTCAAAAGGCTCTAATTCTTTCACGATTCTTTAAATAAGAAACGCCCTTTTCTAAAAGAAAATTCTAAAGTTGTCTTAATCAAAAAGTATCACATTCCTAAAGTCAGACATTTTTATTTTGAAAATGTCTAGAAAAGTACTTTGCAATTTACAATATTTTCTGCCATTTTTGACCAAACTATTCACTGAATCTGTTCTTCTACTTACAAATAATTTTAGTTTCTTCAAAACAGTCCAAAAAATCCTGGTTCTATTTTGAACATTTCATTATTGACAAAACATTTAGAGCAAATTTTCATTTTGAAACAGGAAAGCAAAAAAAAGAGCAAAAAAAAAAAAAAAAAAAAAGGATTTCCTCAAGATGGACCATTTCAGACCATCTTCTCATCTTCTTTAAGAAATTATTTTACAGCAAAGGCAAATATGGCAAGGCTAAGCTATCTGGCCTTCAGAAGAGCATAGAATATTGCAGAATCACAGAGTCGTTTAGGTTGGAAGGGACCTCTGGAGATCATCTAGTCCAACCTCCCTGCTCAAGCAGGGTCCTCTAGAGCATATTGCCCAGGATCACG